TAGATTTTGAGATAATCCTAAAAACATTTTACATCAAAATTATGTACCATGATAAAATTTGAAGGTGCACCTTACCTCTACACCTACGGATGTGTCCATATGCAAACTGCACCCTTATATAAATTCGTTCGTTCTTGAAATACATAATAATCGATAATAATATTAATATTTCGTTAGTATTTGAAAAACCAAGTTTATTGTTTCATGGTCAGTCATGCCCCGTTTCTCTTCTAACATTTGACTAATTTTATCTTTTATTAAAATTATAAGAAATTTATGCTCATTTGTTATTACAATTGTCCCTCATAATTTTCTATTTTACAATATACCCCTTTTTTATTCCGCACGCTTTCAAAAGGAAAGCTTTATATAGAGCCGAGTCTCTAAACAATCAAATTAGAGCCTACCTCAAAAATTTCACTAGAAGAGATTGTTTTGCTGCTCAAATATCCTCAAATTTATCATCTCGATATCAAGATACATGGACATGTGAATAAAATGGATTTCAAGTTTTGGAAATAGTGTATTTTGTAATGCATTTTTTTACCGTCAATTTTCAAGATTTTAAAGTTTTCATAGATTTATCGATCTACACTATTTTCGAAGCTTTAAACTTTATATAAATATAAAAATATATTTTAAGGTCGTCACAAAGATTTCCAGTGTTGAAACCACATTTCTCGACACTATTTGAATGTAGGCTCTAATTTGATTGTTTAGAGCCTAGGCTCCATCCAAACTACACCCTTTTCAAAATGCCCCACTTTCTAGATAATTTACCCACCTTAATTTTTTTTAACATATTTTTCTCAAAAATCAAGTTTTATAGTAAATACCCCCAATACAAAAAGTTAATTTTTTTTTGAACAAAAATACCATCATTTTTTAACATTAATAAAAGGAAACACTGGATCGCGGTTGTATATTGCCGGACCCATCCATTATGCCGAACCGGAACTGTACACTGCTGGGCCGCCTATTCCATACACAATTTTTAATTTTGCCAGAACGTAACTCACAAATGCCAGACTGCTCATTAATCCAGAAACAAATGACGGACCACCTCTTTCAAACTCCAGATCGCCATGATGAAGTGTTGCACTGCATAATAAAATATCGAACCATTCAAAATCAATGACTTAAGCACCAGACTACCTGTTCTAAATGGCGGACCGCTGAAGTACCATAGCATCATAGTCAATGTGTGAGATGAAGGAAGGGTATTTTAATATCGTGTTTGATGTAAGAGAGGGGTACTTAAATTTTTTTTAGTCGGAGATATATGCAAGGTAACGTAACGTGGCTTTGGAAAAAAAAAAGTTGCGAAATGTTAGGTTAGGGATAAATTGTTTACAAATTTCATTTTTTTCCTTATTTTTGTTTGCTATATCTTAACCTCGAAGAATCCAAATAAAATCCACCTCTCTCTCTCTCTAAGATCTACCCCTCTCTCTCTCCGTGTGTAAAAATACCCCATGCCGCTCTGTTCATTTAACGGCGACTAAATGGAGGGAAAATGGTCGGAATTCCTTTTTCCGGCGTCTCTTACAACCAGCGGTCGCCCCGTTCTACAACCAGGCGAGGTCGAATGCTCAACCCTAGACTCAGTCGATCTCGAGCTCGTTCAAAGCCCTGACCCTAACACTAATTTCCCGACTCTGAGATCGGGCTTACTCATCCTCACCACTTTCAGGTTCCTGTTTATTGACCAGAACTCTAGGGTTTCTTTCTCGATCCCTCTTTCTGTAGTTTCTCATGTTTCTGGCCCTAAGAAGTCTATCAAGAGCATGTTCCATAGCCCAAGAATCAGGGTCAGGGTTTCGGTCTCAAACGATGGCAGGGTTGCAGAGAAAGGCCAGAGATTTGCAGAGATTGTTTGCGTTCTGAGGGGGAAGAGTGATCCTGATTCGTTTGTTGGGAGGTTATGGGAGGTTTTGAGGTCGAGGCCATGGGAGAGCTTGGTGGGGTCAGAAGATAAGAGAGAGAGTGAGGTGGGGAGAGTTGCAGAGAGCTCGAGTGTTTGGAGGCCTGCAATGGCTGGGGTCTCAGGAATTCTTAGAAAGGAGCAGGAGCAGTGGGAGAGCACTGATAAGAGCTTGCAGGATGCTTTCCAGGATTTGAACGCTTTAATGGTATGCGGCTCACTCTGTCTCTAAAAATCAAGTTTTAATGTGGTGATTACTCTCTCACTTCGGATTAAGATTGAAGGTTCATCAAAAAGCAAATTTGTTATATATTTGCGGTAATTGAATAAAAATCTCAAATTTGAACTTGTTTATATTGATCTGTGATTCAAATGAACTGAAGGTCCACTAAAATGGTGGTATTCTGTGTTTCATCACGAGCACACTTGGGACCATTTTTGAAATTCAGCCTGAATCTGCCTCAATCGTGAAATGACTCCCTTTGGGTGAGTGCAAGTCCAATTCCAGCTGGAATTCAATGAAATTGGGAAGAAATTCTTAGGAACTTCACTCATAGATTGGCAAAATAATATGGCAAAACCTGGTGAAATTTTGGTCTGAAATTTGGCTAGAATTGGTTGTGTTATGGCCAATTGGCGATTAATTATGTTTAGAATAGGTTGTGTTATGGCCAATTGGCTATTAATTATGTTTCAGCATTGTGAGACTCGGCGGAGTTACTAGAACTAGCCCCTCGGTGAGCAGAGTTACCCTGAGTTCTTATGTACAACTCTGAGCATATTAAAAATAGAAAAAAATCCTAAAAGATATACTAAAGTATGGAATCTATGTGTGTGTTTCTATATATATATATATATATATATATATAAGAACACACTATANACACGTTAGTACGGACGACTAACGTAGAACGTAGTTTAGTTTTACGTACCTAGTACGGTACGTCGTAGTCGTTCCGTTTCGTTT